ATTATAGTGAAATAATTGGTGTTAGACTAGGCTGAACAATGGCTTTAATTGGCATCTTATTATAGTGATCATTAGTTTCATTAGAAAAAAAACTAGACTGTCAAGTTGTTTCATTTAGAACAGGCTTTGGCTGAACATCGGTTTCATTTAAAATTGGAATAGGAGCTATAGATTCATTTGGCATTAGAACAGAGTCACCTGTTTCTAAAATGGCATTTGTACATGAAATCTGTTTCAGTTTGAATTTTTTATATAATTTATACAAAGGATCTGGGATGTAATAGCCATTTTGAATACAGAAATTGAAAGTTGTATACTGCTCATGAGTTAAATGGGTATCCCATAACAAAGAAGCAGTATTATTGTCAAATTTTACTAATTTGCTATCTATTTTACATACAGACATGCTTTCAGGTTTATTTGTGCCTACTTTATTCTACTTTAAAATCGACTTCTTTATCTATTGCATTTTCGAATCTTGTTATTCTAGTTTCAGTTTTGATTGGGTGCAGACTTGATTCAAGCAGATTATTCTTGTTGAGTAGTTGTTCTATGGAATAGACAGAATTAGGTAAGTAAGCTGTGCTTGGAACAGCAGATGGATTATATGGATTAATGCCATATGATCAAAACCCTGAAATAATATTTTCAGCTGTAAGGGCTTGATCCCAAGCTTTCTTTAAAAAGCCCACAAAAATTTGACTCCAGGATATTCATTCATTAATTCCTGACATGTTTGATTATAATATGTTTTATGAGGACCAAATACTGTGCGATCTAGAGACTAGAGCCAATGGGAATAATGTGCTGGCATTTCCACAATGTGAATGTTATTTTTAATTGCAACAGACAATAGCTCAACAGAGTTATGAGAATCGTGACCATCAACTATGAGAATTTGTGGTCAATTTCTACCTATATTAGGCAAGAAAGTATTGGTGAACCAAAGTAATGCAATTCCTTGCTTTGTCCAACCTGTCTCACTAAAACTCCAATTTGAGCCTGATGGTGCATGTGCAGTATTAAAAGAATGAAGAGGCTTCATTCTTTTAATACTGCACATTCTTTTAATACTGTCGTTTTACCTTTTGCTATCCAATGTGGAGGTACTAAACCACCTGCAGCATTTACAGCAGCAATAATGGTTATAGTTTCACGTTTTCCAGATATGTGAGATTGAAGGTGTTTTGTACCTCTTTTTGCAATTAGGTTTAAAATCCATCTGTAGCCCAGACTTATCCATATTCCAAATCAATGAAGGCTTTAAAAGGGCATGTGTGTCCCTCAAAACTTCATGTAGTGAATAGAAATATTTAGCTACTTTTGGTACAGACATGCATTGATGGTGAGCTGATGAAGTACCTTCAGGGTTTCGCAAAACTAAATTTGTATGTCGCTGATTAAATGAGCTCCATCATTTTTCTAAAGGAGTTGAACGTTTAAACTTTAAATTGTGTTTTATGGCTAAATCTGAAACATTTTTTTAAATTGTTTTTTTCCGAATCCAAATCCAAGGGCAGTTTTTGTTGCTGCATATTCAACTAATTTTAACTCTAAATTTGTAGATAATATTGGACTAGGTCCAGGTTTGACCCCAAGAACTGAATCTCCCTTAAGATATTTACCAAGGGTTGACCAAGAAATACTAAATTGTACTGCAGCTTCTTGTTGTGACGAGAAATTATTTTGAACAGCTTAAATTATTTTGAACAGCTGCAATTGCATTTTTCATGTTGCTGTTAGATCACTGAAATCTCTTTACCTTTCTGGTTCAACTTCAAATTAAAAGTAGAGGCAGGTTTCTTTTTAATTTTCTTTTCTTTTTTTGTGGTTCGTGTTATTTTTCCCATAGTTACTCAAATTAACTAAAAGATATACTAACTACAATAGTTGACCTTACATACATCTAATCTAAATATATTATCATAACATACACAGGTGTAGCATAAATAAGTACAATTGTTAAATACAACATAATTAGATATGATTTAGGTAGAACTTCATTGGTATGGTTAGTGGGCATTAAATTAAATATACAAAAAACATATAATATAAAAACACATATATACAAACATTACATAATACATGTATACTATGTTATATTTTATATTACATATTCACATAGTATTTTTATATCTATTATGCAATGTTTGTACGTACGTATTTTTAAAATTATTATGTAGCTAGTAAATAATAAAAAAATAATTTGCTTTTTTAGATATAAATTATATAAGAAATATCCAAACTATTATTTTAAATATTTGCAAACATTATGTAATATATAATTATATAATAAAAATTACATACAAACATTAAAAACACAATAAACTCTTATAATAAACACTGTAAATTAAAAACTAATTATACTTAGTAATTATACACAGTCAAGTAAATAATTTTTATAGGTAATATTAGTAAAAATAGTTTAATTTATTGTGTATTAACTATAATATAGTTTATAATATAGCCTATATACATACATAATATATATATGTATATATATATATATATATATATATATATATATATATATATATATATATATATATATATATATATATATATGTATATATATGTATGTATATACTTATATATATATACTCATATATACTTATGCATGTATATATATATATATATATATATATATATATATATATATATATATATATATATATATATATATATATATATATATATATATATATATATATACCAAAATATATACACCAAAAACCTGTAACTAAAAAAATATTGCTTTAAATGCGTCTCAAAGTTGCTTGGAAAAACTAAATATTATTACTGACAGTATAAAATATTTACTTAAATTTACATTGACAAAAAAAAGATTTCTTAAAAATAAAGACTGAATGAAACATTTATAAACATTTAAACAAAACATAGATATATTAAAGAAACAAAAAATTATATTCATCAACTAGATAAATACTTCGCTAAATAAGTAAATACAATAAAATTATACTCAAATTCTGCTCTTAATAAGACCCGGCCATAATTAGGGCACTTTGCCCTACTTGTTAAAAAGAAGTAAAAGAAATTTTTAAATAAGTTTTTTACAAACAATTTTTAAATAAAATAGATACTTAGGTGATATATAAAATCTTTTTTTTTAATGTCCAATTCTTATTATGAATTTCTACATTTTGTATTTTTGTAATTTTATAAAAAGAGTATTTTTCTTTATTAGATTTGATTCATTGTGTTTAAAGTTCTTCATTAGATTTGATTCATTGTGTTTATAGTTTTTGAAAAAGTTTATTATAAAATTAAATTACTTTTTCTTGATTTTAAAATGAATCAAATTTTATTTTAAAAAAAAGGTTATTATTTAATCGTTTATATCATAAATTGTATGCAAGTCAAGTTATAAATTAGTTATTATAACAAATAAAACATATTTTATTATATGTGTAATATGTATAAAAAAAAAATATAGTAACAAAATGTATTTTTTATTTTTAGTAATATTATTTAAATAATATTTATTGGATTATTATTATATTTTTTTTTTTTGTTATGTGATAAGTTTAAATTGTTAGACTTTTGTAATTTGTATTGATAAATATCTTCAATTTCTTTTTATTTTGTTCTAATTCTTTGAATATTGGAAGAGTCTTTTTTATTTTAGACACTTTTTAAGTGCATGTTCCGTGGGTGACGTTTTTTAAAATGAGTCCTTTAGTTTTTGAAAAAGATATAATTTGTCAAGGTTTTTTTTTTAAATTTATTTGTAATTTTAAAATTTAAAGATTTTTTACACAAAGTTAAAGTTTCATAGTTATAGTTAAAGTAAAGTGGTTTAAGGAATGGAAGAAAAGTTTTTATAAATGTTTTTATATATTTTTATATAAATGTACTATTTGTGCCGGCAACAAAGCCTCCAACAGAACAAGATCCTTTAGAAGTATCATGATGGACATCAATGCCACAAATCATCACATTTTTCTATCAAGACTCTGCAAAGAACCTTGCAAAGATCAAGTTTTAAATTGTAATAAATAACACAATTGAGATGTTTTTTAAATAGAAAACCTTCTAGTGAACATTTACTGTTTAACTTGTTTCGTTCAATTATAATCTTTCCTTATTTTTTAATTTTCTTATTTTCTTCTTCAAAATATATTTCTTTCTTTAATACTTTATAAATACATATATTTCAATTTTTTATACATATATATTATTATATATATATTTTATTATACATATATTTTAATTTTTTTTTACTTTTTAAAAATTCAATTTAAGAAAAAAACTCCAAAAAACAGACTTTACAGATTTAATTTTAGAAAAATTTTCCACTCTTTATCAAAAATCTTTATCAAAAATCTTTATCAAAAACAAAATCATCATTAAAAAAAAGTAATGATATACACTATCCTTGACAATTAAGGGAACTCTAAAAAAAAATACTTTTATAGGAAAAAAAGTATAAATATGCGTATTATGTATTATTTAATATTAAAAGTATAAATTGCTAAGGAAAACATAATACTTTTATAATTAGTCTTTAGTGTTACATAAATTTCTATTAATATTGAATGTTTTGGTCGAATACATTTTTGTATTTAGTCATATGCTACATTTTGTTTTGTATTTCAATAACTCACGTTGCATATATATGTATTAAAGTATTTATTAGGAATTTAAAATTGTTGTGTTTTTAATATATTTAATAATAATAAAATAAATAAAATACAATAATTAACTTAAATTGCTAAAAAATTAATGATAGTAAGTGACCAGGGCCCCAGCCCCGGCTAAAAATGAGACTTTTTTCAAACTTCGCCCTGGCTAACCTTTAATAGGTTTAAGTTAAAAAAGACGTTTTCATTAAGACCAATTAACAGAATTAACAAATTAATGTTAAGTGATAACTTATTAAGCATATTAACTTTTTTATAGAAGTTAATTTTTTTTTTAATCTATATAATTATTTTATCAAAGTGTCTTTGTTAAGTTGTTTGTTTTTTTATTTCATGCAGATGCTTTAGAAGAAATTGGAATGGAAAGTCAAATAATTTCAGACTCACAGATTTCATTAAGTAAAAGTTCAATAGGTGTATCAGCACGTATGAATTATGGGTCTTCTAGTTTTTATTCCAATTATGACATAGATCAGTATATACAAATTGATTTGATCCATGTGATGAGTATTAGTGGTGTGGCAATGAAAGGTTCTGTTAAAAGTTATTTGGTTTATCTTGGTTCAAAAGAAAATTTAGATAAAGAATTAGTGGGTGTAAGTTGTTTATTTTTTAGATAAGTTGATTTTTTTATGTTATAATTTTATGACTTAATTAAATCAAAAATAATATAAAATAACTTTTTTATCTTAGAGTGTTTGTTTTGTCTCTCATTTATCTAATGGGGTGTTAAAGCAGATCTTTTTTAAAACATTACCTGCTATTTTCAACATTTGAAAACTAGAACTATAAAAATATATTTTTTATAAAAAAATTGAAATTCTTTATAAAATAATTTAGTTTATTTCTTTATATTATTGCCAAACTTAATAGTGCTGTTTGTAGTAGTCCCCTTTCGAGTGGGATTGACAGGAAACTCTTGGCAGCCATTAAAGCTGAGGTAATGGAGAGAAACTTTTTTTATAAGAAAATGTGAGCAAAAGTGTTTGCAAATATCTACCATATGTAAACTTTATTTATAATTTAACAAGTTATGTGACATTAAAACATAATAAAATGTATATCAAGTTTTACAGTTTAACATTCACTTGAAAATTTTGGCAACATCTCTCTAATTTTGATCAATAGCATTTATTTTTGTCTTATAAAGTCTTTTATTTCCAATATAGTTTTAAAACTTTTGTCAGACAATATGCTTATGTGACTGAGTGGTTAGCAACATGCTTGTGTGGCTGAGTGGGTAGCAACATGCTTGTGTGGCTGAGTGGTTAGCAACATGCTTGTGTGGCTGAGTGGTTAGCTTGCAGAGTTTCTGAAGCAAAGAAACTCTGAGATAAAATGGTGGTGGTAGGATTCGAAGCACAAACTGCTGTGGTTCGAATCCTACTACCGGCTTTTTTATTTTTAAATTTTTTTTAATGACTTTTTTAAAATACAACAAAGTAAAACAAATACAACATTTTTAACATGCAACAAAACAAAATAAAACAAATTTAAAGTTTTAAAGATATTATACAAAACATATGTAAAGATATTATACACTTTAACAACTTTTGAAAGAGATTTATAAAAAAGCTTAAAATTTCTAAAAACATCAAAACACCTGGAAAATTTCTTGCGCCTATGTCATGAGATACTTATGTTATTAATATGCTCAGGTAATTAGTCTTAATAAACTACGAATGGTCTGAAAAAAAATTATGGTTTGAAACTTAATAAAGAAAGTCTTGCTACTCCAGCAGGTGGAGGTACTGAGAAGACAAAAAAAAAAAAAAAGATTTTTTGTAACTGAAAAAACCTTAAATTTTATTTTAGCAATTAAATGTCCTTTTTCCTATATTTATGTTTTAATTGTAAATATATACTGCTAGATTAAAAAAATTGAAAATGTATTGTGTTAAAGGACGGATTTGAACCCTTGCAAAACGGCATCAATGACAGCACATTAAATCACTGATCTATCAAATTTATCTCTAAAACCATAAATAGATAGTCTATTAAATTGATCATTGACATGTTTATCTTAGTTTTCATAGTAAAATTGTTGACCAGGAAGCTGTGAAAAATCCGCCTTGGAATATGTTTTGTCATCTTCAATTATTCACATACTTTTATCTACCATTACTTTGACCAATTTTATAGACATTACATTTATAATTCATCTTGCCAAATAAACATGTTAATTGCACAAAATTTTTAATAGAACCACTATCAAAGTAAGCTATAGCAAAAAAAGTAAAGTAAGCTATATACAAAAAGTATTGAAAGAATTACAAAAAGCCATAATTTTGCATTGGTTTGTAAAAATGAATTTCTTAAAGAAAAAGCAGGCAAAAAATTGACTGCCCTATGAAATGCAAATCAAAATGCTTATCAAAAAATATTATTTACAAATGCATTGTTTCCTCACAAAACAACCCTGATAAACAATATATTGGCTTAACCGAGGGCAAATAGAAAAAACATTATGCAACCACAAACAATCTTTTAAACATAAAAAATGTCTTTCAAAATATATTTGGCAGCTAAAAGAAAAAAATATTAATTTTAAATTAAACTGGTCAATTCTAAAAACTGTGTCTGCCTATAATAACATTTCCAAAAAATGTATACTGTTTGCAAGAAAAATTCGAAATTATTAGTAGATCAAGAAAATTTACTGAATAAAAAACATGAACTAATTTCTAAATGCAGACATGAAAATAGATTCCTTTTAAAAATTATAAACACAAATGACCAGTCTATAATTATCCTAATTCACAAAAGTTCTTTTCATGATTTTTTATTTTTCTAATAAAGTTGATGCAACAATTTTCCTGGTTGCAAAATAGCACTACAGTCACTACATAATTAATTATAACAATTCCCAACTTTCTGTAAAATAATTTTTCTATTTAATTTTATTATGCATTCATCCTGATGAACCTACTGATGGTGAAACATGTTGTTGAAGACAGCTAAAAACTAGATAAGTGTTTTTACTAATTTATATATATATATATATATATATATATATATATATATATATATATATATATATATATATATATATATATATATATATATATATATATATATATATTAACTAAGTAACATTTTAGTTCTGAGCAATGTAACAGTTCCTGTTACCAAAGAAATATACATACAATCATTTTGATTACGGGGAAAACATTTCCAGAAACAAAAAAAATTAATTATGCTAAATAGTAATGTTTTTTTCTTTAATATTTGTTATAAATATTATAATTTTGTATAAATTTTTATAAATATCATTGAGGAGGTAATTTAAGTTTAAATACTTGAGCAACTAAATTGGGTCAATCATTTGCAATCTGACCCAGATATAAGTTTTCAGTTATATCACCCCATTTTGGGTTGAAATTAAACGTAATAATAAAATCTGTTTTTATTTTGTTTTTTTCTAATAGGTGTTACAAGTTTCATTTATTTATAATTACAAATTCATACTACTTTACAGTGCTTAAGCAAAGCAAAAAAATCGAATCAACAATTTTTTTTTTTAAACTTGAGTTTGATAAAATATTCTTCTACTACTCATAAATTTGTTCATCTTTGCTAATCGACATCTTATTATAATCAATCATATTATTGGTAATGGAAAAACTTTGAAAATGAGAATAAGCAACTTCGACACTAAAAAGTCATTTATTTCATAATTTAAAAAGTCTAATGTTGACTCTTCCCTCTCCTTAAGGAGGATGGGGGGATGGAGGAAGGGTGACAACCCCATTTTCACACCACCCATGAATTCACCCCTATGTCTTTCCAGTTGATGATCAGGCAATACTTTAATCAAAACTTAAATAAATAATGTAAATCATGTAATATATATATATATATATATATATATATATATATATATATATATATATATATATATATATATATATATATATATATATATATATATATATAAATGCAAGCAGTGTAATATTTCTTAACAAGACCTATATATATATATATATATATATATATATATATATATATATATATATATATATATATATATATATATATATATATCATCATCATCAGTAGTTTCATCAGAAAGAATATCCAAACATCAAAAAATTTAAAATTAAATTATAAAAAATATATATATATAATTTAAATATAATTAAAAATTAATATGATTGAAAATATTTAAAAAAAAAAAATTTATATAAGATTGTAATAAAATTAATTGCTATATAAAATAATTTTAGATTTTAGTATTTTTAATTTCAATTTATTTATAATTAGTTAAAAATTGTCTTAAAACTTGTAGAGTTGGACTTATGGACGCAGCTTTGAGTTTTTATAATATTTTAAAACATTTATTTTTATAATCTGACTCAGAAATGAGTCAGATTATAAATACTTTTAATTTAAGTATTTCTTAGTTTTTATTTATTTTAATTAGATTATTATATAATTTTTGATTATTAAAATTTGCCAAATATAAAATGTGACAACATTAATCATCTAAGGTCAAAACATATTTGTTTTACAATCAATAATATTTTTAGAAATTTTCTTACTGAGAATTAAAAAAAAAGTTTTGTATATTTTAGAAAATAGTTGAACTTTTAATAATTTTTTTTAGGAGTATCCTGGTAACCCTGATATACCTGGCTACAAACCTGTATTTTCGAATCTAAATACTTCAAAAGTTGGCAGTCAGATTAAAATTGTTAGAAAAGCTGTATCTAATAATAATGACTCTACCTACATTGCTATTGAAATTTATGGAAAACGTTTAAGTAAAAAATTTATTTTTGTTTAATCATGATATAGTAATATTATAAAAAACAAAAATTTAAACTCAGTAGTCTAATATTTAGTAAATGTACAAGTCCATTTTTAATTTAACAGTTCCCTCATATAATAAAAAAAAACGTTCTTCAAAAATAGTTTAACTTGGTACTATTTTTTTTTTTTTTTTTTTAAACATCTTTAAAAAAAGTTCCTTGCAGCTGGTTCCTTGCAGCTGTTAAAGATGTTTTTTAAACATCTTTAACAGCTGCAAGGAACCACTAATTAGTGTTGGAAGTTACTGGAAGAGAAAAGATGAAGATTGTAGAGCGAGATAACAATTGAAACACAACTTAAAAGATTGCAAATTATATGAGTCAGGAAAGCAAGATGAAGAAAGGGAATTCCAAAGAACTGATGTTCAAGGAAAAAAACTAGACGAATAAAAGTTTTTGGAGCACTTAGGAACAGTAACAGAAAAAGGGTGAGACTTAATTGAATGACGAGCATGTCCAACTATGTTTTCAATGCGTTTTTGCATTTTGTCTAAAAGAGAAAAGGCATCATTAGAAGATCTGCCCCAGATATGGCAACAGTATTCCATACAAGGCCGGATTTGAGATTTACAGAGAAAGAGAATACAGTCCAGAGTAAAAAAGTGTCGAGCTCGATAATGCAACTTTCACAGCTAATTTCAATGCTAATTTTGCAACGACTTTGATATAAAGTTTCCAAGAAAGATCAGAAGTAAGAGTAAATCCTAGAAGATGAAGGGTAAATGACTCATCAAGTACATTACCGTTCATAAATATAGGAAGGTCTAAATTATTGCGATAATGATTTATGGCTGAAAAAAATTGAGTTTTATCTGAATTAAAGTTCACCAGCCACTGTGAGCCCCATGCTGTAGCAGAAGTGAGATTGTTTTGAAAGCTCAAATGCCCCCTGCAAGCAATCAGATGGATTTGACTTCTTATCATGACAAGAATAAATGGTAGTATCATCAGCGAACAATGACACCTTAGATGTGAGAATATCTGGAAGATCGTTAATGTAAATTAAAAAGAGTATAGGGCCAAGGATTGAACCTTGAGGAACCCCTGAGGTTACAGAATAAGAAGAAGAGTGCTGTCCATCAAGGACAACTTTTATACTACGATTGGAAAGGAAGGATTCGATAATCTTAAAGATGTTTTCAGATACACCATAAGAAGACCATATTGAGTAGACCAGCATGCCAAACTTTATCAAACGTTTTAGAAATGTCAAGAGCGATGGCCTTAACCTCTCCGCCTTTGTCTATTGCACGATAAAACCTATCGGTTATTACTGATAGCAAATCAGCTGTAGAACGAGAAGATCGAAATCCATTGAGACAAAGCATTGAGACAAGAGCACATTAAAAGCATTGATCGACTTTTTATCTAAAGTGGGGTTTAAGTAACCTTTTATATATATATATATATACATATATATATATATATATATATATATATATATATATATATATATATATATATATATATATATATATATATATATATATATATATATATATATATAGATATATATATACTCACACACATAGTTTTAGCCAGGAATATATTTTTTACCACGTTTTTGCGATATTGGTATTATTTATTTTTATTGTTCTTCAAAATGTTTTGAATTTTAATTGTAATTGTCTTATTACTTTAAAAAAAAAAAAAGAGGTCATTGAGTTTTGGATATTAAAAACCAATTGGAAATTCTGCGATGTACGCAGTGTCGTTGGGCTAGCTAACACCTTGATATTTATATATATGCATATATATATATATATATATATATATATATATATATATATATATATATATATATATATATATATATATATATATATATATATATATATATATATATATATATATAATGGGTTTAATACATTGTTACTAGGATTCAAGTCAGAGAAGTCAAAACAAATATATATATATATATATATATATATATATATATATATATATACATATATATATATATATATATACATATATATATATATATATATATATATATATATATATGCCAGGGAATTGCCCATTTTTATATATATATATATATATATATATATATATATATATATATATATATATATATATATATATATATATATATTATATATATATGTATATATATATATATATATATATATATATATATATATATATATATATATATATATATATATATATATATAAATATATATATATATATATATATATATATATATATATATATATATATAAATATATATATATATATATATATATATATATATATATATATATATATATATATATATATATATATATATAAATAGGCAATTCCCTGGCGGAAAATGAAAAATTAGTCAAATTTTAGTCTCTGTTTTGTCAACTTTTAGCAAATGAATATTGATGTAGACACATAAAAGTTTATTTAAAAAATACCTTTCATACTAAAATTAGTTTTAAAAATGATAAAAGAAGAAGGCAAAAGAAAAAAATTATGCCCAATTATATGGAAAATCCTAATAGTAGTTACAATTTGATAGTGAAAGTGTTGCAAATACGTCCATACACCATTAGTCGTGTAATCCTATATTTTTCTCAAACAAAATCAATCATACAAAAATCTGGTGGCAGAATGAAGAAGGGTTTTAAAGATAAAAAACTAGTTAGAAAACTGGTTAACAGTTTTAAGACTTACCCAACCATTTCACTAAGGAAGCGCGCAAACATTTATGAATTTTCTTATAGTTTGTTGTAAAAGTTCGAAATAAACATGTTTTTTATTCTTTCAAAGCACAAAAAGTGTATAATAGATGTGAAACTCAACAAAAAAGTGCAAAAACTTGCTGCAGAAAGTTGTATGACAATTTCATTTCTAAAATTTCTGTATTATTGAATACGATGAAATTTATATCAAGTATGATTATCAGCAAATTCCTGGTGCCTTCTATTATATTGCCAAATGCAGTGGAAAAGCAGATAAGAAATTTAAATACATAAAACATGACAAGTTTGATATTAAATTTAAAAAATTTAAAGAATTTTTACATTATACTTTAATTCTATTTAGTAAAATGTTTAATATGTTAAAAAATTTAAATACCAATTATATAGTTAGTTTCTGGAAATAATGAATGTTTTTTATGGTTTTTTGTTTTTAGAAAAAGTTTTTTTATTTATTGACTTTTCCTGCTTATATTTGTTTGATACATTGTTTAATTTTTTTCGCATAGTGTGATTACAACCTGCTATAGAATATTCAATATATTTAAATGTAGTAAGCTCTTAAAAGAAATTGAGATATTTGAGTAACAAAAACAACATTACAAACATAAACATACTGAGCTAGACTTATAGGCCTTTTACTTGTTGTGAAAATCATACTGACTTATGAATATAAAAAAATCTTTTTGTTTTGTTACATAGAAATATTTTGAAAAAAACAATTTTCTCAGAAATAGGTGAGGGACTTTCAGTCAGGAAACACACTGCTAATGTGGTATAGCTAACACAGAAAAATATAAATTTTATTGTGATATATTGAAATATTGATTATGATATAACATAAAAATATTTAGAGTATCAAGGTTCTTTGGCAGAAGATATTTAAATCTCAAACTTGATCAGGAAAAACCATCTATTTCTAAAGAGACATGGTACTTAGATCTAATTATTGTAGTAATGTCTCTTGTGTCAAAAATGTATAAAAAATAAGTGACTTTGCAAAGAAATTGTACTTGACTCTAATGCTAATAAATTGTACCATTAAAAGAAAGTTTTAGTTTACTAAACTTTCTTATGTTTAATGATACTTAACTAAATCTGACTCCACTATTTGACCATAGTTAGTTAACTTGTTGTATGTTAAACTAAGCTAATTCAGAAGAACGTGGCTTAAGAATCTAAAAATCATGTCCTAAATGACTATTATTTAAAATTTAAACAGCTTGTAAATAATCTTAAAATAGTAAATAGTTATAGTGAGAGGGCTATAAAACTTCAATTTCAAGTTCAATAAATATTTTATATGCCTTCAATGTTTTTTTTGTTACAAATTTCAAGTTATTTCATGAGCTTCCAGCATTTAAATAAATTATATATTTCTGAATAAGTTTTGATCAATAAATCACACAAAAAAATTAAATAAATTGCAAACATCTATATAGAAATATTGAAAAAAAAAAAAACACATTTTATAGATATATTTCATAAAAAAGATTTTTACTACAGCAACATAAAAACTAGGTTGATAAAAACAGATACTTTACTAAGACACTTTACTGTCAGTGTTTAGATTGGCATCACCAAACGCTGACCCTAGTTCTGAAGGCTGTATGTGTGTGTATATATATATATATATATATATATATATATATATATATATATATATATATATATATATATATATATATATATATATATATATATATATATATACACATATGTGGTCTATATACATATATATATGTGGTAGTAATGTATATATATATATATTTATATGCAGTAATGGTGTAGTGGTAGAGCGCTCACTGTACCCGTCTGTAGTGGCCTTCTCAGCTTTGGAGAGGTGAATAATTAAAAAGTATATATGTATGTCTATATATATATATATATATATATATATATATATATATATATATATATATATATATATATATATATATATATATATATATACACACACATACATATTTATATATATATATATATATATATATATATATATATATATATATATATATCTGTCTGTGCTGTTTCATCAACCAAAACTCAATAATGTTTCACTGACTCATCATTACTGTAACTGTTCTTAACTGACTCATCATTACTGTAACTGCTCTTTTATGCTCAAAAAAGTTATATTCAATTTTTTTTTGAAAACCAATGTGCTTTTCAATTCTTTGTTAAATTTTTTTATTTTCTGTTTAAAACTTTTTTTTTGCTTTTTTTTTTAATTTTTTTTTTTGCAGCCTTTCCTT